TGGAACTGATGGGTTTTGAGCATTCTAACACTCCTAAGTGTACATGCAACCCTAGAAAACCTTGGATCTATGTTTGTCTAAAATACATGCAAAATATGATTTCCAAGGTTCATAATCCTATCTAGCATACATGGGGAACTTTTAAAATAAAAGATGGCTAGAATTACATACCTTGTAGTAGATTTGATTCCTTGAAAACCTTGAGAGCCTAGCACCCCAAGTGTGGTGCCTCAAATGCTTCACACAACACCAAATGCTTTGGAATAACTTTAGAGAATGTATAACACTTGTAAAAACCGGCTTGCCCTATCTTGTTCTTAGTGTAGCAGATTTTGGTGAGTATCATGTTCCTTATATAGTGTGTCACATCTAGGGTTACATCATGTAAACCCTAATGTGACATGACTCTTCAATTCCATGACCCATGGGTTTGTAACTCCCATGGAGCCTCCATGGAGCATCCTATGGGTTTAACCCAACTTGATAATCCATGGAGCCTTTTAGCCCACTATACAAGTTATGGATGATTTACATAATCAACCCATATCTTTAATTAGTCATCTTTTGATCACTTAATTAATTCCAAATTAATTCTTGATCAATACTAATTAAATAATACTATTAATATATTAGAACTTATAATATATTAATAAACCACAAGTGTTATTTCTCTCATTTAGTCTATCTAAATGCATGATGCCATGCAACCCAAATGGACCATGCCGGGTCGGGTCAAGTACATACCAGAAATAGTTATGGACTTAAACACCTTATCCAACAGTCTCCTACTTGGATAAGTCTAATAACTATAACTGCAAGTATGACTTCAAGAACCGATCAACAATCGTAGCTCTTTTCAAGGTCTCTCGGAACTGAGAAGATGATGGTACGCCATTTAAGATAAGTGATCATATAATCATCTGTTCTAGATATCAGTCGAACAAATACATGGAACAATGTCTTACTTTTGTCCAACAGTTTGTTTCCCGATTTCCGATTTGTTTGACATAGAACTTAACTGAACACATCAACTTAGTTCTGACCGGGCCCGGTATATAGGTCAAAACAAAATCATCGAGGGGCCCAGATATCGCTTCTAATCCAAGAAGGAACAGATAACCTTCGACTCATATGCTTGTTCTACTACTTGTTGAATCACACACAACAATATGTTTTATAACATCGAGTTACCAATGTGTTTTCATACGGTCAATGCATAACCAACTCATAGGCAACAAGACATATCTCTAGGTTTGAAGACTTATATGATATTACTGTCTTGCGATCACTCGAGATAAATTCCATGAAGTGATACCAGCGAGCGTGGGTTGAATCCAATACTCAGAACTTATGAGCACTCATGAGTGTTGAGGCCATTTCCAACATCTTAGACCTCTACAACCAACTCATGACAGTCTTAATTCATATCTACCTCCAACATATGACCGACTGTGGATAATTTGAATAATATGTAAAACACAACATAAATATTCTGGAAGTCAAAACATGCAAAAGAAATAATAGTAAACGATTGACAAAAGATAGCAACACTTTACTCATAAATAAACACAACTTTTATTCATCATCAAATGTCAATTACACTTTACAAATTTCAAAGTTATCTAACTACTAAAACTAACATCATGCTTCAGCCCTATGCTCCTTGCGTGCTGGAGATGCTTTACCCTACCCAGTCCCTTCGTGAGGGGATCTGTCGGGTTCTCATCCGATGATACCCTCTTTGCCACGAGGAGTCCTTCTTCTATACGATGTCTGATGAAATGATATTTTCTATCAATGTGTCTGGATCTCCCGTGATCCCTTGGTTCCTTTGCTAAGGCAACTGCGCTTTCACTATCACAGAAAATCTCTATAGGCTCCTTTATAGCTGGTACAACTCCAATGTCTCCAATGAAGTTCTTTAGCCATATAGCCTCCTTTGCTGCCTCGCTTGCCGCTATATACTCTGATTCACAAGTTGAATCAGCCACTGTCTCCTGCTTGGAACTTTTCCAAGTAATCGCTCCTCCGTTTAAGGTAAAGACCCAGCCCGACTGGGAGCGGAAATTATCCCTATCAGTCTGGAAGCTAGCATCACTATACCCTACAACTCTCAAGTCATCACTCCTACCGAGGGTAAGGACCCAGTCCTTAGTCCTCCGCATGTACTTGAGGATATTCTTTACCGCAGTCCAGTGAGCCTTACCAGGGTTCCCCTGATACCTGCTAACCATGATCAAAGCAAAGTCTACATCAAGACGAGTGCATGTCATAGCATACATGATCGAGCCTACTGCAAAAGCATAAGGTACTCGACTCATTTCTGTTATTCTCGTGTATTTAATCACATGCGATTATATGCATATAATCACATATGGTTAATATGGATAAAGAAAAACTATTGAATCAAGAACCCGAAATTAATCATGTGCACATAAATCATATGTGATTAAATACACATGAACAACTATTGAATGTAGAACGCGAAAATGAATTGTGTCCATATATATCATATGTGATTAGATACATGTAATCACATATGATTATATGTATTTAATCACATATGATTTATGTGGAAAAGATGTGTTTTCACGTTCTTGATTGAATAATTTTTAATATGTATTTAATCAAATCTGATTATTTATATTTAATCACATATGATTTATATGGACAAGATTCATTTTTGTCCATATAATTCATATGTGATTAGATACATATAATCACATATGACTTAATACACGAGAACAACTATTGAATTGAGAAGGCCAAAATGAATATTGTCTACATAAATCATACACGAGAACAATTATTGAATGTACAACCATTTTAAATAAATCAACACATTCAACAACACAAAGGTCCATGGCTAGTTTATGCACATCATACACATTTATATACTCAAAATTATATAAAACAACTCTTTTGTTTTTCTAGGAAAACTTTTATGACTAAAAAGATACATGTAAACTTTTAGTAAAAAATAACAATTATAAACATTTCAAAGTTGTCATAGAAAATATATAGAAATTTTTCTTGCAAAGAGAAAACCATCATGTTTCCAAAAAACAAAGATTTCATCAAATTAACAAAAAATCTAAATAATATTGCAAAAATGGCTCTGATACCAATTGTTTGGTTTTTATTAAAAAATTGTTTCAAAAACATAAACAATGCAATGGAAGACTTACGATTTGAACAAAAATAAAACTAGTTTTATTCCCACCAAGGATCATTTTGCAAGAGTTAGAAAAATTAAAACAAACATAGAGGAGAAAGCATGACAACCTTTTAATACTTTGATCCTCATGGGAGGTTGGAAGTTAATGAAGATGTCATGAAACTCTAAAACAAGAGCTCTCTAAAAGTATCCACCAAGCAAGAGTAGAACTATCAAAACATGCTAGTATACATATTAGTTGTTCATAAGCCTTAGAATATATACAAAATATATGTTATAAGGTGAAGAAACTAAGGGACTTTGTCTAACATCAAAATGCAAGAGAATGGAGGAGAAGGGAGGGGATTTACATCAAAATTTGGCAGCCCTATAGAGAGCAAAGTGCTCTCGGTTTTGAGCTCCAAAAATGACCAAAAAGATAATTGCAAGAAGTCTCTTTCATGTCTTAATACCTTAGCCTTTCCTTAAGACAAAATCTAGTAAAGGACCGTACATAAAGCAAGTCAAAGCATAGGTTATGAGGACAGACATGCATGTAGAATAAATTGATCAGAAGGTCATCCATGACGACAAATTCGTCAATCACAGATGCCAAAGAAATATATTTGACGACAAATTCGTCAACTTAAAATACCATTTTCACTATAACTAAACATTTTGGACAATTTACTTTTAATAATAATACAAAATAAAGAAATATATTTGACGACAAATTCGTCAATCACAGATGCCAAAGCCACGACAAAACGGTACTACGATGATAACAAGAAAACTAAAAAAGCAAGAAGTTTCTTCACGAACTAAATCCAAAATAAGCATCGTAGTGAAGGGACTGTAATTTACTTTTAAAATTAAAATATTCTGAAAGGAGTGAAAACTGACGTATTTCAACTTCCAAGGCATTCTAACACACCATTTTGGTTTATCATCAGTGCATGTTTGCAACTTAAGAAGACCATCTACAAGTGTGTCTGTAAGTTTAAAGTTCAGTTTTCTGTAATTTCTTGATTGGGAATTTCTCCAAAACACGGGTATGTTTAAAAAAACAAGCAGTTGATATATTTACAAATCACAGTATGTGTTTTTGTGTGTGAAAACGGATAAGTAATGTGAGTTTTTTCATTGCAAGTCAATGTTTGACTCTTCTATCAATTTTATTGATTTGGGTTTGCCGAAAAGGGTTGAAGAACAATCAATTCACTGATTTACAAATCAGTGTGTTGTGTGTGTGTGAAAGTTGATATATAATGTGTGTTTTTGTATAATATCTTTTTGCGAGTATCTTCAAGTTAAACTCTGACGTTTCTGTTGCTTTAATTTCTTGATTTGTGTTTCTTGAAAAGCAAGGAAGGGATTGAATAGCATTTAGTCGACTGATCTGTACTATAGATCAAAGTATGTGTTTTTGTGTGAGGCAATGGATAGGTGATGAGAGTTTCTGCATATTTCTTGTGTGTGTGTCTGCAAGTCAATTAGTCAAACCTTGACTTTCGTGTTAGTTTCTTCAATTGGGTCACTGTCCAGAAAGGGAAGAAAAGGCTTGAAAACCAATCAATTGATTGATCTACAAATAGCCGTATGAATTCTTTTTGTGTGAAATTGGTTTTACTAGTGTGTGATTTATGGTGTTGTGTTTCCTGTTTCTATTTTATGTAATGAAGACTTCCTGACACGAGATGATGATCTGTATCTTTCAGTGAGAAATCTTGGGTTTTTGTTAGTTTATTGATTTGGGTTTCCTCCAAAATTGTAAATTGAGGGTTAAAGTACCATTTTCTTGATCCACAAATCACAGTGAGTGTTATTGTGCGGAAGTGTGAAAATGGAGGAAAACACAAAAGCACCATCAGCTGAGGAGCTATTAAGAAAGATCCAGGAACTCGAAACACTCGAATCTCACCTCAAACAAAAAATATCAAAACTCATGCTCTCTGGTAACCAGAAAAAACCTGAGCACCAATGGTCTAATTCAGCATATGGTGGACCAGATGGTGCACACAAGCTTCGAGTCATGGAGCCTTTAGCAAGGAAGCTAACAGAAACTCAGTTTTTAAATATAATCCAGTCAATGGGTCTGGCTGTACATATATATGGTCTTGACCTTCGAATAATCTTCTGGTTAGCTCACCATTGCAAATTCATTAGTTATTATTCTTGTTCATTATGTCTATTGTATTAATTAATATGAATTTGAAGATAGTTTTTTTTAACATATTTGGTGAATGGGAATTGTGTAGGAACCGAGCTGCAGAAAAGCTTTACGGATATACATCGGCTGAAGCTTATGGGAAAACTCCCACAGAGCTTTTAGTCGACCCTAAAGATGGTTCATTATCTGATTATCTCCTTGAACGAACGATAAATGGAGAGAGTTGGTCTGGGGAGTTTCCTATAAGGAATAAGAAAGGAGAAAGATTTGTAGTTATGGGTTCGAATTCACCATTTCGGAATGAAATCGGAGGATTAGTTGGGGCTATGTGTGTTTCGAGTGCTTCAAGTCCATATCATGTAAGGAAGCATGCTAGACTTGGCTTTGATTCACAACAACCTCTACAGACATCAATTTCCTCGAAGATATCGAATTTGGTCAGTATTTCCTATTATTAATTAGCTTATGTTAACACAAGTTTAATAAAGAATTAGTACAATTAACACATGTAGGAGTATAGATCACTTTATTTCCAAATGGGTTCAAGAATCAACAAAAGTTATGCATAGATTTATCACATGAAATTCCACAAAGATATCAAATTTGGTTGGCATTAATAAATTTAGCCTTCCTTATACGAGTAAGATAGAAATCTAAGACAACCCATGCAAGAATTTGGTCATTTAATGTACAATTAATGGAAAAACTGCAATAATCAACACAGATAACTGAACGATTCAATTCATAATTGTATTCATCATGATCTCAATACTTATACATCAAGAGTTCTTATCAGTCAGATAAGGCTTAAATTTAAAATACATTTGAATACAATGAGATATGGATAACATGTATCCGATATACTTCAACATCCCCCCTCAAGTTGGAGCATGGAGCATGGGGATCAAAAATGCCTAACTTGTCCACTAGTTTGTTGAAATCAGTTTGCCCAATGATCAGTAGAAGAGCCTGCATAAATTGTGATAATATGTGCACCGAGTAGCCAACATTAGGGCGAGTGACTGCAAGATAGATAAGACGTCCCACCAAACACTGCTTCTGGATCATCTAATAACTCATCATGTGCGAGACCAAGTTTGTGATTTTGTTCAATTGGAAAACCTGCGGGCTTAGCACCTAAAAGACCCGCCTCCTTGATATCAAGGGTATATTTGCGCTGACATAAAAACAACCCTTTTGAGCTACGAGCGACTTCAATACCCAAAAAATATTTTAAAGACCTTTGATTCTTCATTTTGAAACAACTACTGAGATACCTTTGAATGTATTATTAGCAGTGGAGTTGTTTCCTGAAATAATTAGATCATCTACATAAACAAGAACATTAATTTGAGTTGTGCCTCGAGTATATGTAAATAAAGAATAGTCAGAGTAGGATTGTCTAAAACCATAGCTTTTAAGAGCTTTAACAAGCTTTTTGTGACATCCCCAAATTTCACGGCCATTTTAGAACTTTTTATTTATGCTTATTTAAAACAGAGTTTATTTATAAATGCGTTATTTGTTCCATAAAAGTATTTTCATAGAAATGTTTTTTTTATTGATTTATAAAAAACTTGGGGTGTCATAACTAATACAAAACATAAACATAAACAAGCCTTACAGTGTCTTAGACTAACTTAATTAAACTTAAATATCTTAAGGATATGCTACCCATTTTCCAACTTAATTGAACTTAAGTCTCTTTTACAAGTCTTATATTATCTCTTGGTAAGACTACAACATTCAACTCCTAATACCGACTTTGTTTAAACAACATTATCCTACTTCGGTGTGTACAAATTATTTATGTATTAATAAACCTCTATCCTTCTCTCTAATGATACTTTTATTATTGTTATCATGAAATGATAACTTAACTCATATAGAACCATACTTGGTTCGTATATCATATATTATCGGATATGTTCTTAACACGTATTCTAGGCAATAGCAAATATCAAGGTTCTAAAAAGCTCGCCATGGCGTGCCATGGCTAAAAGGCGTGTACCTGCCGCCAAGCTTTACCAAAACGCCGCCTTAACTCATATATGTGTAAAAAATGAATAATAGTTGAAAATACATATAAAAATATTAATTATATACAAAATTGTCGGCTTATGTCACGCCTTACAAACGACGTGGCTCACCAAGGCTCAAAAAAGCTTGAGGCTTGACATTGCCGCCAAGTCATGCCTTTCGTTATTTAGAACTTTGGAAAATATCTAACACATAAACTCTTTAACATATATTTAATACTTTAATTAATATTTGTATTAAAATCATGTTTATGAAAGGGCTATGCACTGACTTGATAAAAATGGGTGACTGATGATTTCGGCAGCGCTTCGCTTTGTACTTTGAAAAGACCTAAACGCATAAAACACTAAGCCTTAGTCTAGTTTCATAATCCTGGTGACTATAATAATTATAGTCTAGATTGCTCACTAATCCAACTGTCTACATCAAGATCTATCAAGTAAGGATCAACTAAGCAGGACAGTTGGGAGGCAAGATCATTTCGGCATAATAGCTTTTTTGAAATCCAACAACCATGACTATTCTAGAAACCTCTCCCGTAAGTAGATCAATCAGTATAATGACTTGGAATTACTGATAAATCTTATTTATAGGGTCATAATAACGACTTATGACTATAAATAGAAGTTACACTGAAAGCAAAAAAATGTACCTTAACTTACAGAGTTTAACGAAAATCGGGAAATTGCACTAGCAATACTCCGGCCTGATAGTTACTAGATGTCGGGCTCCAAGGGACTTCTGAGCTAGCCAAAATACCTTAACTACTAAGAGAAATTCGAGTACGAATAGAGGTTCGAGAGAGAAGATGTGGGGAATGAATGAACTCCTGGAAGCTATTTATAGGGCTGAAAATCACCATGCGCGCCGCGCAAGGTATGTTGCATGTTGTGCACTTCAGCCTTATTGGCTCCTCTCTTCTTTTGACACGGGTCGCGACCGGAGTTGTCCACCTCATCTAGAAACCTCACCTCTTCTAGAAGGCTGCCACGTGTCGCATTTTTGTGGTGCCACATGTCCAAAAGTCAAACTCGTCAAAAAGTTAATTGTCCAGCGCTACGCTCATCGTAGCACATACCTAAGCTCGACGTAGCACATTGCTCTACACTCGGCGTAGAGCTTGAGATGAAAAAAAAGAGAATTCCATGCTACGCTAAGCATAGAGAAAGGTACGCTCAACGTTGTTTCACTAATGTCCAAACATTATATTAAGCTCTTAATACCGAAGGCCAACCATGTAAACTCTCAGATCTGAATATAATGGATGTCTTAATGGATAAACTCTCCAACTTTATCCATTTGCATGGGAAAAAAGAGCACAAAGCTAAACCCTAAGTCCATATTATCACCTTTTGCTCAAGAACTCATGCATGGGTAGATAAGAGTGACCAAACTCTCATTTTTATGACTCAACAATCCCAAAGATATCTGGAAATATCACTCAAATGGTATAGAGTAGCTCATATTGACAAAGACCAAGGTTATGGGGACAAAAGCATAAAAACTCATGACCAAACTAGATCTAATATGAATAAACACCAAGATAGAAACTTTATACCTTCTAGGAGTTGTTGATGGAATGAAAAATCCAAATCTACAAAGCTTGGAGCTCCTAAGTGGTTCGTCAATGCAATTCTTCTATCAAAATCCACATAAAAACACTCAAAGAGCTTATAACTCACACAAGGTGCCTAGGTTTCGAAGTGGCTGTTTAGGAGGGTGGAGGCTGAGCATGGGGAGGATCCCAAGGAGTTATAGCCTTTAAATAGGGCTCACAACCCCAAGGATTAGGTTTTTGGTGCAACGCACCTACGCTCGGCGTAGCTTAACGTACGCTCATCATAAGTCATTAATCCCCCACATAAGATCTCCCTCCTACACATAGCGTAGGGTACTATCCCACATTCAATGTAGGACATCAACATGCAAAAAATTAATAATTTAATATTTAAAGAATTATACATGAAAATACAGGTGTTAGATCTAGACACAAAAAAATGTTTTTGTATCTAAATCATAAAGTTTCCATCATTTATTACCTAACGGGTAACCCACAAACAAGCACTTTCTACTATGACTAGAAAATTTATCTCCTTTGGCTTTTTGATTGTGAGCAAAACATAGACACCCAAATGTCTTGATTGTAGTATAAGATGGTAAACTGCCAAATAGTATTTCAAAAGGAGTTTTATTGTTTAACAGAGGAAAAGGTGTTCTATTAATCAAATGAGAGGCAGTTAGAACACATTCCCTTAAAAAACTCACAAGTGAATTAGCTTGAAACATTAGAGCTCGCCCTATATTGAGAAGATGTTTATGTTTTCTTTCCACTCGTCCATTTTGTTGAGGAGTACCCACATAAGAAGTTTGAAAAACGATACTTTTGTAGAAAAATAGTCTAACAAGCAATTAAATTTTGTCCTGTTATCATCTAAACAATTTTTATCTTTCGAGAAAATTTCCTATCAATCATAGCAACGAAAAACATGAACATTTCAGTTTTGTCAACCATAAGATATATCCACACATCACGAGAGTAATCATCAAATAAAGTTAAAAAATATCGTGCACCACAACTGGAAGGGTATTTGTAAGGTCCCTATATATCACAATGTATTTTTTTCAAAAACTCTACCACTCAAAGGAAATTTGTACCTAGATTGTTTAGCCCGAAAACACACTTCACAGGCTTTATTCAAACTACCCCTAATATTGCTAGTGGGAAGGAGGGATTTCACCATTTTTTTAAAGGATGATCCTTTCTTTTATTTACAAATCCAGCATTGATGATACTCCATTGACCAAAACATGAATAATAGAGTTGCCTTTTCCAAAGTAGTACAGTCCGTCCCGTCTAACGCTTGATCCAATCAGCTTCCTCGATCGGTCTTGTATAGCACATATATAAGAATCAAATTGTGCAATGCATTGCACGTCATCATTTAATTGAGAAACCTAGATCAGATTACAATTCAGTTTGGGAACTAGAAGTACACGTTTGAGTGTAATTTTGTCACATAATTTGACTCTACCCTCATGAGTGGCAATTACCTTTTTGCCATTAGGCAAACCTACCAGTGAGCTTGGTACTTTTCGAATGTTATTTAGCCAGGAAGCATCGCATGTAACATGATGGGTTGCCCCTGAATCAATTATCCACAACCGTTTTTAAAATTTACCATTTAATCGCTTTTCAGGAATTTTTGAAGTGCTTATCGGACCTATGAGTGCTTTCCATTGCTCGATAGTGAACAACATGCAAGGGAGAGTTATTATTATCTCCAGGTTTATAACTATGATTTGTAGTCATCGAATTTGCACACACCACTCCTCTTTCACATCCACATGATTTGCCGCCTCTGCCTCCTCCATTTGATTTGCTTCGGTCCTCCCACCACTCCAGATAGCCAACCAACTC